TTAATTCACAGGTATACAAATTAAATAATTTAATTTCTTTTCTCATAAAACATTAAATTAAAATTCATGTACAGCTTTAATTACAAAATTTGATGGCCTCATATGCACTACTAAAGTTATAAATTAACGTGTAAAGTTATAAATTGATCTCAGCTTCATACGCATTACTATCTTTTTTCTTTCGATCATATGCCCTTACCCTTTATGGTTAGTTAACTACTCCACTATTATATTCCATATATGGTAATTAGGTCTATACAATTAGTGGCTCATGTATATAATCACATTTGCTGGTTATATGCCTTTTTAAAAAAACTTGGATTTTTGTGTGTCCATGTTATGTTACCATAGATCTTAAATCAGCTTGTTAAATGTTTTTTTCTCAAAAAAAAAAAAAACTTGTTAACTGTTTATGTAAAAATAAACAGTTTACTCTTTAGCATTAGAATCGAGGAAATCGAAATCATTGTTTAATAGCTAGCCATTTTAAGTTTTAACTAACTATGCTTTGCATATACTCTACCAAATTGGAGATCATAATATTTAAATGTGTTTCTAGCAAATTGTGGAAGGGAAATATCCAATAGAATATACCATTAAAACTTTTAGTTATTATAAATCCAAAAATTAAAGCATACACCTTGTGATGCATGCACTGTCTTTATTATTGCTTTAGTTTCCTAGTGAAAGTTTTACAGATTCAAAACACTTTATGCACAATTGCACATGGCACTTCGTTTTTAAAAAGAGTTTAACTTAAATAAATTAAAAGTATTTTTAGTTATAAAGATTACGAATCGGTACAAGTTTTTAAAATTTATGTATGGTGTTATTGGAAGTGGACATAATTTAACACTAGTATATAAAAAATATATGAAAATATATAAATGGTTTGACTCATTGCTACCTTTATTTTTTTAAGTCCATTATTCATATGTGATTCACTGATTCATTATTGCAAAAAAAAATAATAATGTTTTGTTAAAATTTATAAATTCTAAATATTTTTCATTCGTAGATATGCGTATTTATTACTTATTAGTACTACGAGGTTGATGACTAATTCGTACCGGAGACTTTTTTTATTGTAGATAAAATATTTGTTTGTGAAAAAAGTTACAAAACCTAAAACCCTATAGTTGTAGTTTACAAAAACATTAAACGTAGATATATATTTATATCAAATGTCAATGTTCGAAGACTTTAGAGTTTTGTCTAAATCCGTATAAAACTTTTAGGCTGTGATTGATTAACATCCATAGAAAAAACGAAAAGAGAAAAAAACAATTTTTTTTCATTTATACCAATCAACAAAATTTGAGAAAAATAAAAAATTTCTAAAAGTGTCAAAAAGTAACTAGTTTAGAGGAATTTTTCTCTCCTCTAATACATGGTAAAATTTTATTTTCTTTTGAAAAGATTTTGTTTTCCTTCCATATTTTTTTTTTCATTTCCTCTACATTAATCACCATTCACACTCTTAAATAATTTTTGAAAAATACCGTTATGCCATTTTTCAAAAATTTTACAAAAATATAACATTTTCAAAATTATTTATTCAAAAATAAACAATCTATTATGTTGGATTAACTATGTTGTA